AAAAGCCGTCCATGGTGGAATGCCCACACAGACTCCTCAAGGAGAAGCCCTCGGAATGCTCCCTGACATGGATTAGAAGAGCCTGAGGAGACAGGTAATAAACAAGGTCATCCCTGAGCCTACTACACATACAGGTTCCCTGGGCTCTGCCTCAGACATTCTGAGTCCATGGGCCCAGGCGGGGTCTGGGAATCTGTATTTTTAAGAAGTTTCCCAAGCTGTTTTGATGGATCGGCCAAGTGTGGGAATGGTTGGCCTGATTTTCATTGTATTCTTCTTTCCTGCCTGAAGTCACTGAAGTTCAGAAACAGAAAAACAAACAGACAATGCTTGGAGGTAAGAATGGAGAGATACAGAAATCATGGTAGAGAAAGTTTAGGTAACTTACAAAGTTGACATGGGTGATTAATGTTGAAAACAACAAGCATATACCAAACATACAATCTATGCAAGGCACTGTGCACAGGTCAGTGGAAGTAAAAAGAAATGTAACATCCAGTCCCTGTTCTTGGGACCTACATACAGGACACAAACTCGAAAGCAGGCTGGTGACACGGTGTGAAGTAGGCTGTGTATAAGGCAACAGGGAGTAGTGGGGCCTGTGGTAAACTAAAGGTTGCATGCTAATACAGTGAGCATCTGCTACTCAGCTGTAGCTTTCATTACATATAAGGGTGTGGGCCTAGAGTGGCCAGATATTCTGGTTTTTAAAAAGAAGCCAGAAAGTTCACATTTCCTGGCTTTTAAATATAGCAACTCCATTCAATTTGAAAAAAAAAAACGAAAAAAGGAAGAAAAAAAAACACTTTGAGGGCCAGACAAGATTCATCTGTAGGCTGATTCCTGCCCATGGAATGACAGTTTGCAGCCTCTTTCCTAAAAGGTCATCTAGTCCAACTTCCCTTGAACTTGAGTCCCCTGTAGAGCCGTGCAGGGACATAGAGGGTGAGGGGTCCCTAAAGGTGGTTAAGTAAGTGCCTGGTTTATATGCGTGTGTGTAAGCATGGAGCTTCTGACCTTCCTCCCCCCGCCCCCAGACACACTGAAAATGCATTCCAGGCCCAGAGGCAGAGTGTGGCCCCTGCAGCCACAGCAGCCCACTCACTCATAGATGACCCAGGAAGGACCAAAATCCTCAGGCCAATAGGGGCTGGTTGAGGAATCCAGCTGGAATAGGCTACAGAATAAAAAGTGTAGGAAGAAAAGCTCGAGAGAAAGCCAGAGAGCAAAGGTGTCTTCAGAAGGACTATTGGAAAGGAAAGAAGGCAAGAAAGAAGCATGGGCTCTAAAAAGCCCATAACCCATGACATCCCCAGGTCCTAGCCAGCCATCAAAATCAGCAGTCTGGCCACTCACCATCCACTTGGTCTACTTAATTTTTCTTCACAATACTGACTACTACCTGACCTTTTATATTGCATATTAATTTGCTTATTTTTATTTCTGGATGCCTCCACTGCAATATACAATTCCAAGAGAAAGGGTGGGGGGAGCTTGTCTATTTTGTTAATGGTTCAGTTCCCAGTATCTGGCACATAGGAGGTGCTTAGCAAATATCTGTTGGACAACTGGACTGCAGGCAAGCAGTTGGCACCAAAACAGTTTAGCATTATGTGTCAACCACATAATAACAACATCAACACAAAGCACCTATCATTTAACTTAATTCCTCCAGTTTTCTTTTACCAGATTGCTTCACATATTTGCACATGGCCTAAAAGACCACAGGCCTGTGCAAGGTGGACAGTCCAAGAGCCTGCTCGGACAGGGCTGCCTGCACAGCAGCTCAGCCCACTCTCTCCAGGCCTGGGAGACCATACGGCCACAGAACTGTAAGCTCAGTGCTAATCGGGCCATGTCATCAAAATGATCCAATGTTCTGGGGCCGAGTTCATTCCACCCCGTCCCCTTCCTCAGCGTGATAAAGAGGCAGCCACAGCATAAGGTTGAATAAAGCTTTGGCTCTAACGTTAGCGTCCCAGCTGTATGACCTTGGTCCTCTCCAAGCCTTGTTAACCTCATCCATCATGTGGGCATAACAATAACAATAGTAACAATAATTATTCCCAAGGGTTCTTGTGCAAGTTCAATGAGATATTTCACAAAGTGTGTCCAGTATGGTGCCTGGTGCTTGGCTCAGTACAACTGAGACATGGCAATTTCAGCAGCAGCCTTGTCATCACCCCAGGCTCCAACTCTGCCACCTTCCAGTGCTGTGAGCCTGAGTGACTTGACCTCCTCCTTCCTGGACTGAGGATTCCTCTTCCCTAACATGGGAAAAACCCAGTCGCCAGGATCAGGTAAGGAATAAATGAGATCAGGCATGTTAAACACTTAGCACAGGGCCTGGTACATATTCAATGCTTAACAAGTGTGACCTAGGGTCTTTTATAATTCAAGGAACTTTACTGATCTAAAATGCCGATGTGAAAATCCACCAAAGGCAGTTTGCCATATGCAAATAAATCTTTGGGACATAAGGTTCTGCAGCGACAAGTTTCTCTCCCTACCTGCTTTATTTTTCAGTTGCTCTAAGAATGAGCCCCCCAACTAAACCACCCACCCACCTACAGTCTGACCTAGGAAGCACTGGAGGTCAGTTCCCAGGGCAGGGCTGACCTTAGTTCATGCCAGCACAGTCTCCTTCGCCCCCATGATGCTACAGCCTGATGGGAGGGAGAGGACATGCAAATACGCCCCAGCAACGGCTGGTTATCTTCACAGCCCGGATGGCATGTTTGTGGGCGCCTGTGAAGACAGCATGTCACTGTCAGGTACAGGGCATATGCTGCTGATTTGGGGGAGGCTGTGAAATGTAAAAATACCCAACCCAAATAAAGGCCTCCCCCCCCACCCCCAAAAGAAGGCTCCTCCAGCACCTTTTGCGGAGGGGAGAGGTGGTAACTCCACCTGCCAGGCAAATCTTTGGTGGACCAGCTCCTGACTAAGGCTTTTCACCAACACTGAAGCCTCAGCAGCCAATGACACTGCTCAGGTTCTGGTTTTAACGGGCAATTATACTGTGGAAGAGCCAAGAAACATTTGCTTTCAAGATATGGGCTTTGAAATAGCAAAGGACCAAAGGCAAGGGCCCTCCAAAAAGAAAACAGAATTCTAAACAAGCCAGGAAGTGCTATCAACAGCACATTGATCTACAAAATCAATTCATAAGACTGTAATTACCATCAAGTCTCATCTTGAAATCAACAGTCTTTAGTGGCCATCTACAATGCACCTAATCCAGGTGTCTCAAGTACAAATGTCTACAGTAAGGACCAAGCAGTTAAGGTACATGAAGGTAACTGGTGGTAACAAAAGCAAAACCAACAATGTAAGAAAAATCAGTAATAACAGGGATGTGTGGGGGCCTGTGGCAAATTGGAAAGAGGAAAGAAATGAAGGAAGAAATGAATGCTGCATTCTGTGTAGCGGTTGCCATGCCAGAACAGGGCACGGTGTGACCAGATCTTCCAATTTTTAAATCAAAGATTAAAATCCAACTTTTTAAGTGAAGTGTTGGTTCAAGTTTCTTTTAAAACACTGTGCAGGCCAAGCAAAACATCTGAGAGCCAGATCCAGGATGCGAACGGCCAGTTTGCCACCCCGGGCCAGGCCCCCAGCAGCCCTTTGCAGTTTTTACGGTATTCCTGGGGAAAGCGAGGGCAAGCAGTAGCTGCATAATTTACCCAACTCTTCCCTGCCAGCGCAGACACCCTTCTCCACTCAAGAGCCCTTCTCTTCAGAATGTCCAGCCCTCCGAGCTCTGTCCTAAAGCACGAGCCCCCATCCAGGGGCACCTCTGCCTATGAATGCTCCTTTCCATCAGAGCTGCTAAGCACCTGATACTCAGCTGCTTCCCACGTCTTGTCCCCCACATCTGCCCCAGCTACCTCTCCACCTCCCGCCACTGGCTCCTCCCTTCCAGGTGGGCAGCTATTCTGTCAGGCCTCTGAAGAAACGGCCCTCCTGGGGACCTCAGGCCTTTGAGCAAATTGCAAGCCCTGGGAAAGTGGGCTGGGGGCGTTCCCAGCACTAATGCTCACCAGTGCGGGAGACTTCTGCTTCTCACCAGTCCCCAGGGAAAAGCTGCTCTTCTATAAGTGAGGCTCATAAGAGCTGCAGCTGCAAGGGACTGAGGAGGGAGTGCTCCATGTGTGGGTCCCCTGCAAACATCTAAGGCAGACGATTATGGGTGGCTGAGGCCAAGCCCAGCTCTGGCAGCTCGTTCCTCCAAGTTCCCACATTCATCTGCAGCCTGGGGCCAAGGGTGTTAGAGTAATGACATGACTAATGATCGTTTTTAAAGATAACCCAATATTGTTATTCCTTTGTACACTTTCAAAGCATGTGCACAGTTCCATTATTTCCCCTGGTCCTCCCAACACACCAGAGAGATTGCCAATATATTATTATCGCTATTATTTTTTTAAAAGATATTACATTTTTTTTATTATTACTTTTTTTAATCCTCACCCGAGGACATGCTTAGAGAGAGGAAGGGGGAGAGAGAGAGAGAGAGAGAAACATTGATCAGTTGCTTTCTGTACACTCCCCAACTAGGAATCAAACCTGCAACCCAGGTATGTGCCCTGGCTGGGAATCGAACCAGCAACCTTTCAGTGCACAGGACAACACTCAACCAACTGAGCCACTCTGGCTCAGCCCAATATAGTATTATTCATTATTGTTATTAATCACTCTTCCCTTGACCCTTAAAGAACCAGAGCCAGGTTCAGCATCCTGTCCTAGCCCAAATTTTAACATGTCCATGAATTCCCTAGGGGAACTTATTAAAATGCAGACTCTATTTCAGAAGGTCTGGGGTGAAGCCTGAGATTCTGCATTTTTAACAAGCCACCAGGTGACACGGATGCTACTGGTCCTCAGGCCCCACACTGAACAGCAATGCCGAGGTCACACATGGGTGTAGGGCTAGCCCTGGGACTCTAGCCCAGGCATCCTGCCCTTGGATACTGCCTGGGAGAGCAAGGTTCACTCACCTCACTTTTCACCGGTTGAGGCCTCTTGCCCAGTTTCACCTCCAGGAAGTGCAAGGGGGCGATCATGGCCCCAATATTGCGGATGTCGGCGTATTTCAGCTCCTCTGCAGTCAGGGCCGAGCTGGGGAGTCCAGTCAGGGGGCCGAGCCCTGGCAGAGAGCCTGCAGTCACAGAAGGGTCCGGGATCTGCCCAGGCATCATAGCAGGAGGAGTGGCAGTCCAGCCTGAAGTAGGTGGGAGAAGAGCAGGACACATGCTATCAGCCAGAAGATGTGCCATGAGGGGCTTAAGGCCCCATGTCTTGCCAGGACCTCATCCTTTCTTTCACTAGTGTCCACCTGAACCCCTTCCTTTCCCAGTGGCTCTTTCTGCCCTTAAACCCATTTGTTATAGAGGAAAACTTAGTCCATTAATTCATATCAAGGTTATCCTAGGCACTTAAGGTAATGCTCAATCCAACCATCAGTTCATTGACTCAGCATTTGCTGTGTGCTTGGCACTGCATAATCCTCCCATTAGCCCCACAAGACTGGGTCAGTGCCCACGACACAGAGGAAGAAGCCGAGGCTTAGAAAGATAACTCACCCAGGACTGTACACAGTTAAAACTGGAAGAGCTGGGATTTAAACCTCAACATACCGCGTCCCAAGAGAATGGATTATAACTGTGGAATCTCAAGCACCTCTGCACCTGTTTAAGAGGAAGCTATTTTTGGTCTGGCACAGTGCCTCCCCTCAAATCACACATCCCGTTCTGCATACTTGTTAAGAAACCCTGAATATGAAATGAAGCAAATCGACGTTAAAGGTGAGCATGTGTGAGTGTGTGCCTCTGGTATCTGTGAGGAGGAGACTGAGGCAAAGGAGATGGAATTAATTAGCGTGTGTTTTCCTAGTGGAGCCCAGTACCAGAAAAATACTCCAGGGTCTCCTGCTTCTCAAAGCAAAACATACTCTGGCTGTGTTAGACCCAGAAGGTTTGCAAGGGAAAACAGATTCAGGCATAAAAGACAGAAATTAAACAGGTCAACACCAAGAGAATTCTTATTTCTTCCCTCTCTTTACTGGGAGAAGGTCATGGGTAAGAAATTGTAACTTCAAGGCACAGACGCAGTGCAGAAAGCTTGTCTTCCCTTACAGGGCTCCCATCCATCCATCCATCCATCCATCCATCCATCCATCCATCCATCCATCCATCCATCCATCGGTTTACCACCTACTATGAGTGAGGAGGCACATCTGTTCTCCCTCTCCTTAGTACTCAGTGTCCCCCAGGCCATCTCAGTAAAAGATCTGAAACTCATTCACATTAAGTTATAGTCTTAGAGCTGGAGGAGGGCCTGTGCCTATCTAGCCACATCCTCATTTTGCACATGAGGAGGGTGAAGCTCAGAAAGGTTGAATGACTTGCCCAAGGTCACACAGCTAGAACAGGAAAGAGTCAGAGCCAGACTCCTGGTCCCTGGATTTTAGAAATGAAGCTTTCTCATCCTGCCCCTTTTGTTTCCCCTCCTGGGTTCCAAGAGATGTTCACGAAGAAGGGATGAACTTCTAATAGCAGGCACTCGGACACTAGCCCACAGGAGGACCATTCTTTTGCACAGGGGACCCTCCACCTCGCCTCACATTGAGATCCAGGTTTAGGAAGTTCCCTGAATAACCCCATGCAGTTTGGGTGGGAGCCCAGACATAGAAATGGCCCCTGAGACTGCTCACCCGAGGTTGGCCAATATGCTATAACCACCCCTAAACCTGAGCAGGACTTGAGTTCAGGATCAGGGAGAGAGCTGCCCTCCACCCTCTGGAGCTGGGCCTGCAATGCAGAGGTGTACAGGGTGCCGCAGAAGGAGGCTGCTGGAGGCCATTGTGGGTGAGCTGCACGTCCCCCCAGGTCCCCTCCAGGGAAAACAATAAAAGGCCAGTGTAAGAACTCATTCCTATGTGGCAAAGGCATGCCTGGACTCATCCATACGGACACTCAGCAGGCAGAGGGGGTAATTTTAGGCCACCTGAGCCAAACTGACAAAGGAATCTCGCATTTCTTCTCAGAAAAGGAGAAAACCTTATAAAATCCCCTCTTCTAGACCTGAACTGATGCTCCAAGAAGCCAATGACCCCAAAAAGGATGCTTAATTGAGCTAGTCAAAACAGAGAGGGGCTGGGAGGCTGGAAAACGCTCTGTGCCTGGTGCTTCAGCTGAACACAAACCCCTAACAGGAGCCAGGGGAGCCACACCCCAGGTATGGAGCAAAGCAAAAATACAGAGCAAAATCCCCTCCTTGGCCAGAAGCCCAGAACCTCCCTGAACTGGAAGGACCTATTCCTGCATGGCAAAATGTGCCACGTGGCCACTTAGCAAGTGAAGGGGTGATTTCGGGGGAGAAGCAGCAGTCACGGCTGGTTTTGCCCCACGTGACCCCAGTGCATAGCATCACTTCTGGCATAAAAACAGCAATCAACAAACACTTATTGAATTATAAATGAATGAATGAATGCATGAACAAATGATACATTCATGGCAGGGCAAAATTCAGTGAGTGGGGTACGGATCTCTCTCTGGAGGTTTAGATGCTCACCATCCACCTCCAGATTATTTGTTCCCACAGTAGACCCCAAGAAAAATACTCCAGAGGCTTCTGTGCTTCCCCGCCTAAGCCATCTCTGAGAGATGGAAGCCAGACCTCACTCTGTTCCGGGAATGATAGGCTCTGCTTACAGCTTCTGTTTATTTTCATACAGATGGTATAAATGAGACACTAACAAATGATCCCAAAATATCTGCTACTGTGAACCCCCCCCCCCCCCC